TTCAGTCGCACATGGCCATTAGTTTATGAAATATTTAACGTTCAATGCCGAGGAGTCTTCCAACATTCATCGAGGATTTACTATAAGTATTTGCCTGGCTTCTCGAACGCTTCCAATATTTCCGAATTTTCGAAAATTCAGGTCGATGTCGTAATTCAGAAACGTGGAATTAATTTTAATCGCTCGTTGTCCGTTGCTGCTACGTTCCGAATATTTTTCGAGAGATAGAGCGACACACACACACCGCGAGCATCCCCGAATATCAGCAGGGAATTTTCGGCGAAACCAAACGCACCGATGCATGGAGAACTCGATCATGTCTATGAAAAATAGCTCCAGGTAACTGCCGGAATCCACGAAGCGCGAAGATCCAACCTCCGTCGTTCGAGGATTTAAGAAGAGGACCCCCACGTTTTCTCCGCCTCGATTCCACCCCGTGCAGTTTGTCGATCGTTAAAGGCCCACTCCTAGATCGGTAGATCCGAGAACGAGAATCACATTACCGCATATCAATTCTCGACATTATAGAGACGGTGCAGCACGGTTGCGCGTCTACACACGTACACACACAAGGACACATATCCACGCAGGTGAATTTGGATGTGCGCGCAGTAGGACGGTGCATCGGGAGTGTATCGGCGAAACGAAATTTACGTCGTTCGGGGTGAGGACCGCACTGAAATATCATCGGTACGTTTCAAGCTCGGTTTTGCATATTCATGGATGCACGGGGAGTCGAGGATGGAGAGACGATCGAATGGAAACGAAGAAGAGACGGAGAGAGAAGAGAGATGGGAACAGGTAGATACAGAGGCAGAGAAGAATGAAAACGGGCTGGAAGGGTACCCGGAAATGTGAAAAAAAGAAGATGGAAATATGTAGATGAACTTCAGGAGGGTAAAGAATATATACTTCCGGAAGATTTTCCTTTGCAACGACATGTGGAGGACAGTTCGGTGCAGTGATGAGTTCTGAAGCACTTCGAATCGGTTCCAATACGTACATGTGGCCAGAAATTCGAATCCTTTCGAACATGATTCGATACTTAACACTCTTGATAAGTCGTGAATCTTGGATTTTGATTAGCTTTTAAAGATTCGATGGGTCGGAAAATTCTTGGGAATCTTGGTAATTTTTGAAGTCATGAAAGTTTTGACAGATCTCGAAAAGTATCAACACTTTCAAGATTTTCAGAACGTATCTAACTTTTAAAGAATTCAAGTAGATCAACAGTTTGAAATATCGAATCATATTCCGCATTTTCGAACTGATTCGTAATTTCACAATATCGAGGAGCTTCGAATTGTTTCGAAATTACGATTGAAACAACCATAATTGAAACTCAGTTCTGTCCGTGCCCAGCGATCGTTCTGTGAATCATTGAAATTTGCCCGTAATGGCACATAATTACGTTCGTAATTATGCTCCGTAACGGTTGTTTATTTTTCCAATGTATCCTCGTCAGACAGAACACGAGCTATATCCAGGACATCGATATCGTTCAACTCAGCGCGAGCGTAAAACGCGTAGAATGAATTATTCGCCGCAAATGGTTTCCAGTTTCCCCCGTGCACGGTGTGTGTCACGTAGTGGAAATCGTAGACAGGGATAGAGAGCTGTGCACCCGGTGTATCACGTAATATCTTCGTGTATACGTGGCCGTATCTAAACTCGCGACCGAAATTACTTGTTATTGTACCGTGTCTTCTTGCCGCAGGAAACGTGCGGACGAGCGTGCCCGAGCTACGCGATTAGTTGCCGGAGAGCTGGATACTTAGAGGCGATATCCGGTTTTCGGACAGTTTCCGCCGGACGATTGCGGAGTTCCAGGGAATTTCGTGACCGTCCCCGAAAGGACGGCCAATTCCGATTCCGAACGGGAGAACATCGCGGTTGGACTGTTTTTCACGGGGATATTCGCGCCGGATGTTCAATCGACTTGCCAGACTGCTTCACGTGCATCGAGATCCCTCTAAATGTACGTATTCGTTTGTTTCGTATTACCGTTGTGTATCATCGAATAGTATCACCATACGTTTACATTTTCATACGCAATGATGCAACGATTGCCGTTCACATTGATACGCAACTAGTGGATATGTACCTTCATAAGTGTTTAATCTTTTTTGGGCTCCCCTCGTTAAGCCGTTGACAGTTAACGAATATGAGCCTTTCCGCGCAATTAAAGCGACTTTACTGTACTTGTATCTACTTTATCAAAAGGTGATACCAGTATAATAAATATTATTATTATTTTTATTAAATCTAAGTAGCAATTGAGTCGTTCTTGTCAATAGACCTCTACTGATCTCATTAATAAGGCTAGTAATATTTCGCGAGGAATCACGCCATTACATTTTTATTCTCGAATCTTGTTCCTCGTTTTCCGTACTGGGACACGCTAATTAGCCGCCGGGCGTACTGTATATTTCAACGAGCAGAACCGGAGAGAAATATTTAAAGGAGTCCAATGAAACGGGTTTGCACCCAGCAGAATATTTCTCGACGTGGAAATTAATGTCAAAAGGGAAAAAAGGGCGGTAGAAGATGTTTAAGGGACTGCGGGGTGCGAAAGAGGGGTCCATCGAATTCAATATAAAAGGGAGCGCGCAAAGTAAATGGAGAACGGGAAAACGCACAGAAATTTGACCGACGTAATTGGAATCAACCGGTGCAATTACAGCCGCGAACCTGTTCAGATAAAAACATTCACGTGGCGTAAACGCCTGTACGATGCCATGAATTGATATCTCGTATATATATATATATATATATATATATATTTTAAAAATATTTATCTGGACGAGTGCGCTTTTTTCTTTCAGTCTCACCAGCTCGATGGCCCGAATAAATTTCTACCGAACGTAGATTCGTGGTTCGATAATTAATAAAACATAATTCATCCGTGAAAAAGCGACAGCGGGAATACAAAGAGAGCTGCGCGCGGGGAGTTAATGATAAAATTTCCCGGGAAAATTGTTTCTGTGGAAAACCATACATGCGTCGAGTTTTCCCGCGACTCTGCCGCTTCACCCGCTGTGCTGGACACTCGCGTAATTTGATAGAGAATCGTAATCTAATTCGCTTTGTCGGACTTTACACGAAATAGCTATCCGATATTCCACGGCGGGTCTTATAACGAATATCACAACTCGAATGTATACGGTTTGTATCTGTTACCACTCGAACGTTTCGAAATCACTGTTTCAAATGCGTGAGCGTGCAGTGCTTACATTAACACGTTAACTGCCACAGTGGAAAAGCCCGTACATAGCCAGACACACTTTACTTCGTTTTTTTTTTTAAAGTCAGAAATCGTTGAAAATATAGGATCGTCGTTCTAAAGACACAGTATAATTTAAATTATACTGTGTTATTAATTTCACCTGAAAATTTTGTAATGGTATTTAAATAATCCAGCCTCTATGCAATGTATCAAAGGTCATCGCACGAGTAATGCGAATTTTCTTTGAGATTTATACTAACTTCCAGTTTTCCTTCCACAAACATCAAAGACAATCCGCATTACTAATGGGGTGATCTGATACGTGTCACCCATATTTGGTTCACGTGGCAGGCAAAGTATTTAACGCTCACCAAAACGATCTGCAACATTATCAATCTCCCTTCTGTTCTTCGAACGAAAGTTTTTCAGAAACGCGTCACGTTTAATTTTTCCCCAGGCATTCTCTACGGAAATTCGATTTCGTCCGCGTATTAACGATCCACCCTGTGTGTCGTTTTCCCTTTTCCCCTCAGCTACGTTTAATCCGTGGATTTGAATACCGGTCGCGTCGGCTCGATCAGAAATTCAGCGCGACCGTTTTACGGTCGCTGCGGCGTTCACCCGCGATGCGGATTCGGAAAATATTTTCGCTCTAATCCGCCCCCTCGCTGTTTTTCTCTCCGTTCCATTCCTCTTCTTCCTCGTCTGGTGAGTTCCCCCGTTCATGAATATGGAAAATTAGACCTTTCGGTGACCATAGATCCCGTTTTTTTTCTTCTTTCTTCGTCTCTCTGGCCCCATCCGCAGTTCGCGGTTCGCAAATTGATTCCGCGCGCAAGTGGTGCCCCGCTGGCTCGCGTCGCCACCCGCCGCATGGCATTCTTGTTGATTCAAAGAGGAACGGATTTGGTTTTCTGCGCGTTCTCGGACGAAAATTGAAATGCACAGGACCGCCCCGCGAACCACAATCGCCCCAGAGAATGAGGATTCGCTGGCTAACGAGACGGCGACACTGATACGGTCTATCCTCGCGACGAGCGGAAATGCTTGTCAGAAAAGATTAAGGCGGTGGTGACACGGCCGTGTACGGTCTCCTGTCGGCGACAGCACACTACGCGGAATATTCATTATTATCCTAACGGATGGATTTTCGAATCAAGCTTGTGACCTTTTACTGTGTCAACAGTACAATTTATTCCATCTATATTCTATTAACATTTTGACTGCTACGTCAGCTGAATATGGGTGACACGTATATTGCAGAGATTCGACTATTTGAATACCGTTAGAAAATTTGGAGTAAAATTAATATCCCGGTATAATTTAAAATAAGACCAATAGCTTCTCTATTAAACGCATACATTTTATGTGTTTGTAAGTTTATAAAAAAAAAAAATGAAATAAAACGTGTCTGACTACGTACGACCGTTTTCACTGTAGCATTCACCGTGTTAATTCTCGTTCTGTGCCACCGTTTAAGGAATCTTCATACGACAACGACAAGTACTTTCGTAGATAGATGAAGAAGAATCATGTTGGGTACGAATAAGTAGAAGGAAGTTTCCCGATTTTCGAGTCTGGAAGTGTCGGTACCGATGTGTAAGGGTGAAAGGGGAGCTTCAGACCGCTTCTAACCGCGTACTCGTTTAGAAGAACACCGGCAAGGAAGACGTAAAGCGTCCTCCAATAACCAGTCTAAGATCCAGAAAGAAAGGAAGGCCAGGCGGGAGCGGGGGGCCACTCCAACGGCTGATCAAGATCGCCCTCTACTCACCCAGTTCTGACGAAGTTGGCGAAGTACTGCACGATGCTCTCCGAGAGTGCCACTTCAGACTTGGTATAGTTCCTCGGGAAGTGGCCGAAACCTTCCACCAGCGGCGCCCCGAAGACGAACGGCAATTCCTCGCCGTGAACCGATCCCATCTTCTGAAATCAGAGGACACGCAGAGACTGGTTTAGTTATCGTTTTGAATTATCAAGGTGACAGATCGAAAGAAACATCCTGTTTTTCCACAAAAGATAGCATACTGTAGACTATAGACCGATACAAGTGCTGAAATACATAAGCATCCTGTTGGTAATTAGAAAAAAAATATATAAACAGTAAGTAGTACAAGTGCGTATATGGTCAGACCATCACCTATTCAAGAATTACAATTTTCACTTCTTAAATTCTTATAGAAGATGCACTATAAATGCAACTTCGGCATTATTTAACTCCAGTGGAGAAGAAGTTTTGCCCACCTTCGATTTACAATCGACACAGCCATGGAGGAAATATATTGTTACAGTTCGAAGGTTCTCCAATTCTTCGAGACTTCAGTCGAACCTTACGCAACGATCGTGTTAATAGAATTTCCCGTCATTTTTCTCCAATCACGTAATTACCACGACCGAAGGAATCCACGAGATAGTGAACGCGTCGCTTGGCTGCCACCCCCTGGGGGAATTTACGAAACGTCTTCCCTCTCGTAGCGGTTTTGGCCGTAGTTTCGATCACGATGGACACGTCAGGTGCGCGTAATTCAATTTCTTCGGGGTTCGAGCCCTTTCGGCCGAAATTACCGGGTTTCTGGCTCGAGACTAGCCCGTTGCGAGGCGAAACACCGAGAGTCCAGGTAACATCAGACTCGAGACGGGCACGTGCGATGCTTCGAGTTTCCCGAGCTTGACCGTGTTCCGTTGCCCCGAGCGGATTTCGGACCAGGCACACGAGATCGAGGTCTCTGACGAACAGCGCGAACAAATTTTCAGAAACACCGTAATTGAACCACATCCATCGCAAGAAAATGCAAGATAACGTCAAGATTTTTTATTTTCGACGTCCAAACGAAACCTGGATCTCTCCACAGTAGCTGAGTAGCACGAATGACGGGGCAATTACGTTGCATGATCGTCACATTCATTTATTCCCATCCTTCGTTCGAGACCACCGCTTAAAATCTCTTTTTTCCAAGGGGTGATTACGCCTTGGCTACGTATCCACCATCACAGTCATTAACACGTGAAATCGTGTCGAGTTTTCCTATTATCATGAACTACTGATCGATAATTTAACCTTAAAGGTACACTTTATTTGAATTCATTGTTTTCTCCCCCGTCGCGAGATAAATTAAAATGGAATTTCAGAAATTCCTTTCGGCGCCGCGCTGTCTGTATTTATATCTCGAGGGACGTATGTCTCTCGAATCGCGACGTAGCGTAAAAATTGCCACTCGAGTCGGGTCCCTCCTCTGACATCCCCGGGGTCCTAAACCTTTTTTGCAACTCAGACGCCATTTTATTAATTTAAAGCACGTCTCCGAGCAGCACGACGCGCTACGCCCGCGACTGAATTTTCACAGCTTTCATTCACCCGTGTTCCCCTTGATGCCAACGGCTTCCAGTGTGCCAACGAGTGATGATTTTTTTTTTTCTCACTCGTGCAATCCCGTAATGTAATATTTACTGTTCTCTGGGATTTATATTGCAAGGGCTCGATTTGTGAAATTGTAATTGCGCGGATAATTCAGCTACGTTGTTATTTACCTGTTTACTCTTCCGCGGATGAATATACGCGGGTACCGAATATAGCATTTAATAAATGTTTCGTGCTTGGTAAATATCGATTTCACGGTGAAATTCCACTTTCCCGTCGACCCTTCGTTTGTGTGTATCGTCGAATAATCGCGCGCTGCAAGGCATTCTTGTTTCGGATCTGTTGGAATAAATAACGGAACATTACCAAACAAAAAAGGACTATTCACGACGAAGCCCCTCACCGAGCCATCACGTTCGTAATTTCATTGTGAATTTCTATTAACAAATCCGATCAATTCAATTCCGCTTCAATATGTACCGATCGCGTTCTTGTTGTTATTTTGCATGGGCGAGCTGAAATTCGCTGAATATTCGCTTGCAGCTTTCCTCTGTACACGCAAATGGAGTATTTGTTTATGCAGTAGAATTAATATCTCATGAAAATGTACATTCCAGAAATGAAACGTTGCTACTCTGTTTCCTAATTATCCTTCGCTCTTTATCAATCTCAAGTAATTGTTCCCCGTTATTGAAAAAGTAGGAACAAGGCGATCGTGTATTGAAAACGTTCGCGTGGAACAACGTGTCAGATTAAGTTCCATTTCTTCGAGGAAAATTGCTTTCGCGTCAGTTGGGTTTTAATCCTGTTCGGTGTCCGTGTTAGAAAATACTTTCTCGTTGTAAATGGAGTTTACGGGTGCAAGAAAGAGGGATAGAGACAAAGAGAGACAGGTCAGTTTCTGGCTTGTAAGAATCAGTCGGTATTTCGGTTATGGATCCTTTCGGGAACACGGTCTCGAAGAACTTATCGAGTCAGCTGAACGTCTTCCCCTCCCTCTCTTCCTTCAAAAAGAGTTTCTCTCGGCGAATTCTTCTCCAGAAGAACCGAGCAGAAGTCCCCTCCCCCTGTCCCTCCAGATACGGTTTTCTGATTGCGATAGAGTAAATAAGTAGCACAGAAGAAATTACTTCATGCTATTACGTGGCCCCGGAGAAAAAGTTGCCGCGTTTTTGTTCTGCCCCCGTTGCAGTTCTCGTGAAAGTTTCACACGGCCTGGATACGCGCGGAGGAAACTTTCTTTCCGGGGGAACACTTTACGATTCCTCGGTGTTTTTTGCAAGATTACAGGAATAAACAAAGGCCGATGGAACGCGTACGCTCTGCAGGAACCATTATTACACATAGCTATACTGATCGTAAGAAAATAGTAAAGCGGTGAGACAAGTTCCTTCCTCTAAATTCTTCTTTGGATTTCCTGCTTGACATTTTGGAGCCTTTACTCAACTGAAAGATTCTTCGAGCAACGTCTCTTGGAATATGATACAGCGTTTGCTTACAAACGCAAATGTCTTGTTAATATGGTATTTTCTAAATACGTTTCACTATTTGTGTTAGATTTGCTTCGAAGTTTCGAGAGCCAGATAGTACAGTAAATCATCGACGAGTGTTCGGCGGCTCCTCGGCACTGACAAAGAGAGGTCCCCAGTTGTACCGTTGATTTTTTAACGATGTTTAGCACACTGATAGAGCTTGGAATTCTGAAGCCAATGATACTTGCTTCAACCGCAAATAGCCATTAATTGATTAAATATTTAATGTTCAATGCCGAAGAGCCTTCGAACACTCATCGAGGATTTATTGTATTTTCTTGTATCGAATAAACAACGGTGTGTGTTCTGTGCATACGTGTTCGGTATACCTAAGGATTTAAAAAATATGACTGGGAAACAGCCGAACAAATAACCCACCTGCCCGAGGAACGCGTAGAACCTAATAGACCGTGGAAGAAGGCGGGCATCGATCGTCGTTTACTCGAATTGTTTCGAGCCGCAAACGGGGAGCCGCAGCCGCCGATATGTTTCCAAATGAAATTAATGGGATCAAGAACAGCCCGCGCGCATTCTCCGTTAACCGTAGCCGGCCGACAATGACGGAAACCAGTTGGCGAAACAACTTTGATAAAGCCCCCGTGGCGACTGGGGACAGTGACGAATACTCGACACCAGTTCGCCTTGGCGGATCGTATTTTGAATTCGGATACGGAGCATTTCTCCGAACCGTGGCGCACACACCTCCGTGCTCCCTTCTTAGCCGAAATTCGACCGTGTTCCCGGTTGCACCTCCTATTCAGGATCAAGGAACGCCCACGTCCGGTTCAATTGCCCGTGGAATTGCCCGAGAAACGGCCGCTATGGTAACGTGGAATCGCGGAAAATTGAGCTGTATACGAATATCGGAGCATAGATTTTAAGGTGTAAGTGGAATAAGCAAAATACAGTCAGACAGAAGTGTCTGATGTTACGATGGAATTAGACGTATGAAAGTGACAGTGTTTCACCAGGGAAGTAGAACAGTAAGAATCAATAACCAGTGAAATTATAGTAATGCAAGATAAAATATAGCCAGGCAGCTAGATGAAAGTAGAACAGCTCAATGATTGATCCTACAAATGTAACAGTGACGGTTAATAGAACTCCTCTCGCCTAAGTTGAAATTTAACACTGCACTGACCGATAGGCTATTAAGAGACTCTAAAATTTCAGTGCATACAAATAAGAAGCATATTAATTTACCCTCAGATTAGGGTTAAAGAAGATTATGTCACATTATTCTACTAGATTTCTTGCTTTTTTGTCATGAATGTAATTTGCTACTATTTTGCTACTTTGTAATTTGCTACTTTGCTGCTATTCGTTTCATCTACTAAACCTATTAAACAGCATCCAGTAGGTAATGTGTTAAACATAGCATTCCAAGTTCTAACACCTTCGTGCAGTAATATGTACTTGTCTAAGTGGTACAGGAAAGTGTTTCGTCAGACAACAGAAATCAGAAGTTAACACGTTGACTGTCAGCTACGAGATAACTCGTAGTTGAAACATTGCAAACAAGACAAGCAATCTTTATTAATCAAACGCATATATTTTCGAGCGAAATAAAATGTGTCTGGCTACGTACGTCCCTTTTCACTGTAGCAGTAAACGTGTTAAACCGTGTGTCTAAAATAGCACAGTAAATCTATTACTACCTGCATGTACCGTCTGAAACGGCATTCGGGGGCAGTGTATAACCCGGATCGTGTATACGCTGCATCAAGGAAGCTCGCTGTCAACGAACCGTCTCGACTGAAGGAGCAATCGAAGCTGACTCCGCGACTCAAGCTCGATCGCATGGGTAATGGTTACGTTTCGACGAGCCCGAGGGAATATTAACCGGCCACCGGCAGTTAATCACCGTCGAATAGAGGGGTTTTCTCGTCGGGGGTTCCGTGGTTCGCTCGTTCCTTCCCCGACACTCCTCGATCTCGACCACGGTTACCTGGAGTCGGCCGTCGAACCACTCCAGAATCCGCAATCCTCTCCCCAAACTCGCCCGGCTGTGTACATTCTGCGTGTGCGCTACAATA